TGATTTTGGTTTTGTCTGTACGTTAATATAAAAGTGTCAGTCAACCGATAGGTATCCACTTACACTTATCAAATAGCATCAGCAAAAAAACTGAAAGGATTAGAATGAAATACATTGGTTATCGTACTAATTCTACTCCCACTTGTGAGGATGGATGAATGTAATGTATGTCTTTTACTTTTTTACGCCTAAACAGCTCAACGGATTCAAATGTAAGTTGGTATATAGATAGATCATGACCTGGAATAACACATAGGGTAGATTTTCACGGTAAAGCGGGTAAAACAGCGGAAAACAGCTAGTACTGTATAAGTGAATACCTATTGATTGACTGACATGCAGGTAGATTTTTTGTATAACTTAAATAAGCATCAAGAAAGAGAATCAGGAATTTCCTCTACCACGGGGGAAAATAGGGGTCCAAAGATTGTATTGAATTTCGTCAGTTTTGAAGTTGGAAACCTGAAGTTTTGGGTTGCCAATATGCCAATTTCACTAAGTAATGAATAGTTTCGAGAATCGGATTATGTTACCTATAAAGAAATTTCCCAAAACTGACACAACCGTCAACAAGGTCTACTCTCACGCGTCTGCCCGCGTTTGGGTCGCTTTCTCGGCGATAGCGCATCATTGCTTAGACCGCCCCTCTACCCCCGCGCGTCGTCCCCCGTCATCTTACAGTAAACGCGACACGTAATGGCCTACTGCGTTGAGTCAAGTTAATCTTATCGTGATAACTTTCAAAGGATTCGCGCAAATTACTGAGTGACAAAGACGAAGTTAATCTATGTTGAATACTGCCGAGTTCTGGCTTCAGTTGTCATATGCTTAGTCGTCAGTGTAAAAATATTTTGTCGTAGACATTACGTTTATTTTAGGTAAATAATTATAAAACACGTCTCGACCCTTCCGTGGATGGTATTCCAATAGGTGCTATTTTTCCATAATAGTTGAGAAAAAATGGTTTTGGTTGTTAACATCAAATCCATCAAATGGTGGCAAAAAATTGATTTTTACAGTAACATAGAAGAGGAAAAATTATTTGTAATTCTGAAGTAACGAGAATAATTTCTAACTTATATAAATTGACATTCAAGAATGAAAGAAGGACACATGAAGGAGTTATATGTTTTTTATAACAGTGTCAGTTTTTACAAAGACTCACTCATTATTATTGAGTAGCTCTACCAAACTACTATAGTATTTTCAATACCAATTGGAACAGCACAGAGAAGGAATTCCCGCCTCGACATAGGCGTCGTCATATTATTTTTCAGTGGTAGTTTTTCAGTTACTTATTTTTACATAGCAATTGATCACCCCATGAAAAAGTTATCTCAACTGAATTTTTCCACCATGGGTACGATTCCATTATGACCATCCGATTGTTCAATTTTTCATATTTGAAACCACAAGACAATAAGACACCTCGTAGAGTTTCTAAAGATTTGTAATTGTAATCGGGATAGTCGAGTAATTTATACCAAATCATTTCCAAGGTTGATACTTCATTTATTTGGTATATACCATCTTTTGTAGCAGCATCAACGTTTGCGAATTTTTTATTCCTTTGTGTTCGTTTCATTGCATGGTCAATGCCATCCCCTACTTTAATGACTCGAAGAACTGTCGAACGAGATAGTTTCGTTAACTCGCATATTCTATTCACAATAGCATTCTGTGAAGTGTGACGGTTTCTCTTCTTCAAGCATTCATGAATATTTAAAATTACTCGCTGAACTTCAACATGTAAGTCCTTATTTTCAAATTCCGGATCCCTGTCGATTGACACCGATTCCTCACACGTAATGTTATCATTTGTTTCAAAAGGTCTCCAGAAAGCCATATTGATGAAAGTACCCAAAAATACTAAGATTTTCACAAAAATAGATTTTAACGATGGGATTGCAACCTTTGCTTTGGTGTAGAAGTTAAAAACTTTTTCTAGAGATAAATTACCCTAACACCAAACTGATATTTTTGCACTCGACGCGCGTTTCGCTAACAAGGTTAGCATCTTCAGGAGAAGCAAATTGATACTGAATCTAAAGATAAGGGTTAGCTGTTTGTATACCTAAAGTTTTTTGGTTTGATGTGGACTTTGTTTGTTGAATGATAATTATCCTAATTTATTTTTCGGTAATTAACTAGTGGAATCACTACCTGCAAAGGAATTTGTCCGCTTTTTAATCTATTGTTGACGATTGTTAGTATCCCCAATCATCCGATGATGATTATCGATACTAACAATCGAAACGTCGTGAGGTAACTTTGTTTGGAATATTTTTCAATTTTTTTATTTTTTGCTTATTTTTATTCCTTTTTACTTTGTGGTCATTTTCATTTTGTATCTGATTATTTCACTCGTTTTATTGTATTTTCATTTCACGTTTTGTTGCTCAATATAGTTGATACTTCAGCTTTTCATTCTGATTTCGATTATTCTTTCATAGATTTCGAATCATAGTTGAATTATATCCGATAATGGAAGTCCGAGATAATGAAATTCATGAAATTAAATAAATCCATCAGGCTCATAGTTAAAACTTTTTTTTATACATCAGGTCAACATTATTGATAGGATACACATTATATCCAGCATTATTGTATTTCCAGAATGCTTACTAGTCAGTAGTAATATCAATTTTTCTGTGGGTTGGGCTACCTATCGGGCGTGTCCCCAGGTGGCGGATAGGGGAACGGCCAGGGGAGTGGAAGCCCTGTTCGGGAAGCCAATGTGGCCTTACGGACGGAGTCGCCGGACTCCTGGTCAGTGGCAGAAATAAGTAGAGTGGAAGGAACTAAAACTCCCCAAAAGCCTTTGCAAAACATGCCACCGTGGACCAGCCGACCCAAGCTGAGATGTGAGGAATCGTGCCGACAGCTAGATGGCCGCAGGGTTATATACGGTCACGAACGATCCCCTTGGGGACTGGGCGAAACCTCATTGCAATCAGCCTAACTCTGGTAATGCGGGGCTCTGCCAAAGGTGACCACTTCTTCCCTTGCTACTCGTGGAAACACATATGAATAAAACAAACACAAAAACAGAAACAACAAGAAGAAAAACCAATTCTGAGGCTGGACCTAAGTGCTTACCCCAATCTAAGGCGGTGGCTGAGGATGAACAGAAATGTCCACCCCAATCTACCGCTTGGAATGAGGCTGGACATAGCAGATTACCTCGTGATGTAATACAAAGGCCAAGACGTAAGCGCATTTGGAGAAAGTGGGCAAAGGAGGCAAAAGTGGCAGCAACTATAAGTGTACCCTCCTTCTCCCTCACTTCACCTACAACAGCAAGGGCACTTCCTGCGGTGGGCGCCAAGAGCTCCGCCTTGAATGAAGGCAAGGAACCGGCTGCCCCTGCAGGAAAGCTCCCTCATTTGTGCACCTGCACGAAGGGAACCCCAAGAAAGTTAAAGAAGCTGCGCAACGTCAGTAATGTCGCTGCATCTTTCCAAACCTTCACGGAGGCCACTGTTAGACACCTCAAGGTTGCCAAAGAGAGTGTATGTTCGGCAAGTCTTGGCCTACACCTGCCAATATAAAGGAGATGTCTCTTAGTGATCTATCCACTTTCCTGGAAAGGACAGGATGGACGATGACCTAGGAGAAAAACTCTTCGGGACGATGTACAATGGGTCACATGTGACTTAAGTGCTGTGGGTCTACACTCACCCTCCTTACCCTACAGATACAGAATATCAATTTCAAGTTCTGTTGAATGCAAATTTAAATTAAAGCTTTGCCAACAAGGATTCCCATGTTGATCGTCATTCATTAAATTTCGGGTATTACATATGCTTTGAGTAGCTATTGAATGGTGAGATAAGTGTTTCTGATTTGTAAATTGTTAAATGAAAATTTCGAAACAAAAATGATCTGAATAACACAACCAAGTATCAATGTATGTAGCTAGTTACTACGTGGTAGGAGATAATCACAAAAAATAAGAAATAAAACTTTCTATGTAAAAAACATAGAAATCAAATATTATTTTTCGAGAAAAATGTATGATTCAGGTCTTGAATGATTACAAATTGAATACAATTCTTTATATACTCCAATCCCTGCAAAATATTGTTTGAATATACTGATCAAGTTAATCATCTCTCACAATGGTGGAAACAGTTTTTATCTCACGTTCTCCTCAAACAAATACGAGTAATCAAGTCTTCGCTCAAAAATTTCTCATCGAACAGAATATAATCAAGTGAAAAAAGTAAATGTTCAAACCTATCGCTTGTTGAAGTTGATTAATTTAAGAATTGCTCCGGTTCACTCCTCTTTCCCCATATTCCTTTCAAGTTGGACCAGGCGGGCTGTCTCTTTCCCCAGGTACCTGAAAAATTGATGAAAGTAATTATTTTGAAGCGGAAATCGATCAACAAACAGTTTGATCAGTGATAAGGTTCAACTAGATTTTGATCTTTATGAAGTTTCGTAAACTTCTCAAATAACACTTTATTGTGAGATTTGCACTGAACAGAGATTTTTTCGGGCGTATACATACTGAACACGTGTTGCGATCTTGTAAACTGTTCGATGGAAATTTCACAATGATGGGTTATTTGAATACGTTATGGATTTTCATGCAGTAGTGAATACTCCCCACTAGATCTCCAGGTGTTTAGTTTTTGAAGCCCAATTTTTAGAAGTAAAACTTCTTTACGCGCGCTTGACTTGTGAAGTAAGCTGGTGGATGCGTGACGCGAGCGTTACGAAAAGTGTGATCGGGCGAGGCGAACGTTGAAGTAAACCTTTTTTACGTGCGCTTGACTTGGGAAGTAACATGATAAATGCATGACGAGAGCGTTACGAAAAGTGGGATCGGGCAAGGCGAATCGAAGTTGAAAGGGAGGTCTAAGAGTTAGTGAAGATTGAAAGAGAGAGAGTAAAGTTTGATATATTACTTTAGGGGCAAGAGAATGAGATCGAGTAGGCTCTGAAGAATTGGGAGAAAAAAAAACTATCATACGTTGCCACTAATTTTAGTAGAAGATTTGAATGTTAATTTCGCGTCCAAAAATGGACAAATCTTGGATACATCAGTAATGTATTCGATAATGAAAATGAATAAATGATAAATCTATTCAAAAATGTTAAATCTTCAATGAAAACCCATAATAAATTTAAATATTTGTAGAAAATTGTTATATGAACCTACATCAGGGTGTTTCATTTTTAGGCGACATTGTTTTTTGACCCACTCAAAACCTCATAATTTATAGAGAAAAATATATATTTCTGTTGGAAAAAAAAATTCAAGTCTGGGATTGCAACCTTTGCTTTGGT